AACTAATCAGTCCCTTTAAATCTATCTCCTTTTTCTTTTAGTGCTGTAGTCATTCTTTGTATGGTTCTACCATAACTTATTTAACCATTACCCTATGGATGGACATTTACATTGTTTTTTATTTTTCTCAATTACAAACAAGACCTTGTGGACATCTCTACTTTTGGGATACATACAGAAATAGTTCTCTGAGCTAGACTCCCCAAAATAGAACAGTTGGGTCTGAAAATATGTATTTACTAAATCTTGATGGATACTATCAAAATGACCTTCAAATAAGAGATTTTTGAAGACTTTTTGCTGTATTTAGATAATTTATTAACAAAATTACTTAAAGTCACCTCTTTCCCTCTCTGGTAATTTTGAAAGTTGAAATATTTGTGTCTTTCTTTTAGGCTCTATAGATTTAGCTTATTGTAACATTCTCTACAGAGACTTAAAGAAGGGTCTTGAAGGACTTGTGCTTGAAAGCCTACTTCATCTAATCTACCTGACAACCCCCTATGATCTGGTTGCTCAGTGTGAACCTAATTGGATGATCTACTTCAGGCAGGTGAGAATAGAAGATTTTTCAATTTAGGCTACCTAATTTATTAATGATGTGATTTTTGTCAAGTAGTTATTCACATTTTTCCTCTGTTAAAATATATTTTGAACTGAGTCTTTTATCTTTCACTTTTTAGCAATATTAATAGACCAACAGCATTGCTTAAGTACTCTCTGTTAAATATAAAAAAATTCATTATCAAAAAAGTAAGGACTTTTCACAAGATGGCGCAGAAGGCGAGGAAGGAAGCTCCTGCCCCTCCCAAAGCCAAAGCAAAGGCATCAAGGCCAAGAAGGCAGTGCCAGGAGGCATCCACAGCCATGGAAACAGAAGATCCATACATCAGTACCTTCCAGAGGCGAAGACACTGCAGCCCCAGCAGCAGTCCACATATCCTCGGAAGAGCTCCCAGGAGAAACAAGCGTGAACACTGTGCCATCAATTTCCCCCTGACCTCTGAGTCTGCCATGAAGAAGAGAGAAGACAACCACACACTCATGTTTGTTGTGGATGTCAAAGCCAACAAGCACTAGATGAAACAGGACTTGTGGCTCGGTGCCTGTGGCTCAAACGGCTAAGGCACCAGCCATATACACCTGACCTGGTGGGTTCGAATCCAGCCCCAGCCTCCAAACAACAATTACGGCTGCAACCAAAAAATAGCCAGGCATTGTGGTGGGTGCCTGTAGTCCAGCTACTTGGGAGGTGGAGGCAGGAGAATCACTTGAGCCCAGGATTTGGAGGTTGCTGTGATGCCATTGCACTCGCCCAGGGCAACAGTTTGAGGCTCTGTCTCAAAAAAAAGAAAGAAACAGGCTGTGAAGAAGCTCTGTGACATTGATGTGGCCAAGGTCAACCCCAATCAAGCCCCACAGAGAGAAGAAGGCATGTGTTTGGCTCCTGATTATGGTGCTTTGGATGTTGCCAACAAAACTGGGATCATCTACACCCCGTCCAGCTGGCTAGTTCTAAATATGTAACTTTTCACCATAAAAAAAAAATAAATAAATAAGGAAAGGTACCAAAGAGAAAACATGATTATTCCTGGTCCCATTCCCCCAAGGACAGTTACTGTTAGGATTTGATCACTGCATTTTGTAATGCCTAGAATGTAAAGGAGATGGTGAAGTCTGCTGCTCATGATCAAGAGTTTAATTCTGTGAAAGCTCTATTAAGAGTCAAGCATGATAATACACCAAACCCAGGAATGTTAATACTTGAAAAGGAATATTTATTTTATAACCATTAGCTAAGTGGAAATAGCCCTGTTTGTCTATTATGATTTTACTGTGAATAGGCTAACTGCATGGACACATATTAGGCAGAAACAGTTCATAGCTTTCAATCACAGATTTACTTCCTTTTAATGTCGTGTTTTTAAACCATTACTCTAAGGCGTTTTAAGTTAATGAAGTTACTGTCAAAACCTTTCCCTCTTCACCACCCTTCAGCATCTCCAGTGTTAAACATAACCACACAGTCCACGGAGACCAGTACGTGTGCCCATCCCTTGAAGTAATTCTATTAAAGCATGTTGTATAATATAATAAATAAATAAAATATAATATATTTTTTAATGTGCAATATTTGAAATAAATTTATGTTGTTTTTTCATATCCTTTAAAATTATGAAAATGTGATATCAAAAAATACTAGATTTGGTTCAAATGGCAAATTTTTAGAAATTTGATTTTTCCATGTATTTATTCTTTTTCTGTATAGTTTAGCCAACTCAGTCCAGCAGAACAAAATGTAGCTGCTCTTCTTGGAGTCTCCGAAAGCTTTATTGGGAAGAAAGCATCAGGTCAAGCCATCAGGAAGGTACCATATCTTTTTTTCTTCCTAAACTATGAACTAAATTTGCTCAACAAAATTAATATCATTGTACCATCTCCTTTGTTGATGCTATCTTTGGTTTTACATGTTCTCTTTAAATTGATATAATTTCCATTT